GTCTGTCTGTCTGTCTGTCTGTCTGTCTGTCTGTCTGTCTGTCTGTCTGTCTGTCCTTACAGAGGGTGAGTTGTACGAAGGCACACCTGAGATACGTATAGTCAAACCTCGTTATACCGCATTTTATGGACGGGCGTGGGGTAAGTGGTACAGGGGGTGGTAGTAAAACAGGATAGCACCAATTGCCACCTTGACTAGTGGAACACTGGTAGAAACTAGAGACAAACTCTGACTATCATTGACTCATCTAGATCTGTATGTGCGATAGTCACGTGCAAGGGGAAAGAAGTAGCAACCAATTACATGCGCATCTCCAATCTGAACTTAACGTAAATTCAAACAGCAAATTTCTGTAGGATCAAAAGCTGAGCTAGAGCGTCATGGGCTCTGTAGATGTACATTTCGTTGTACCCGTCTTCACCATACCCTCCTCTCGTCACACCATCCTCTCGCCATACTCTCCTCTGTCCTCGGGCTGCCTCCGACTTTCACGTAGAGGAGCGTGAGTCTCCACAAGATAAAAGTCTCACAGACGCCCGCCAATCTTTTGGTCATCGGGCTGATATCTAACATCGCGAGACGTTTTTCCGACACGCTAAGGTGGTGCAGTTCCTTGGACGTTTCTCAAAGCGACTTCGACATATCAATCCAATTTTTTTTTAATATGTTGGCTAAAGCCTAAAAGTAATAGCGTTTTCCTAATCAGCACAACGACCCAGGACGTGACGATCCAATGGCTTTCCAACTTGGCTGAAACCTCAAGGAAGAGTAGAAAACTATAGTCAGTAGCTCTAGTCATTGGTGGCGGGGAATGGGCAACATGAACCCTACCGGAACTGCACGGTCACATGGCAGTTAGGTTATCCAGCCTCATGAAAACCGTTGTACCCGCCTGTCTTCAACATGCATGGCATCTTCTCAAGGTGGGCAGGCAGTCCACGGACACACACAAGTTCTCAATGTCATGACGAAAAGAATGGAACTTCGTGCAAGCTCGGACGTCGTCTTGTAAAACAAGGTCCGCGCCAGTTCGCTACTGGTGGCACATACAGAAATGTATTAAAGACTTCCGTTTTAGCAGGATTGCTGAAGGATGTAAATGTTTTGATTCTAAAGTCAAAATGGGTTAAAATCTTGGTTTGTGTCTTCCGTATGTTTTTATGTGTGTGTGTGTGTGTGTGTGTGTGTGTATGTCTCTCTCTGTGTGTGTGTGTGTGTGTGTGTGTTTTATTCTTTACATCATTGAGGTAAGTTCCAATAATCTTGTTTTGGTTATCATGTTTACTTTTTTAGTGCTTCCGTGTGTGTGTGTGTGTGTGGTTTATTCGTGACATCATTGAGGTAAGTTCCAATAATCTTGTTTTGGTTATCATGTTTACTTTTTTAGTGCTTCCATCGTTTTAGTCACACTTATTGTACCGCTTGGGATACTCCCCATTGTTCGATTAGGGTGACCTTCACCGATAGAGATACATATTATGATATTATGCTAAATATGCTAGAGTAACAGCAGTGGAGGGTGGGTGATATTTAAGGGGTCTGATATTTCTTGTCTAATTTTTTTTTTCTTTTTGCTCTTTTCTATCTTCCCTATTATCCATTCACCTTTTACCAGATACGTTCCTTGTGTTTTGTGTTACTCCCTATTTTGTATTTACTTTATTTTTTTTCTTTTGTTTCTAAAATTTGGAAATGACGCGTCTTCTTTTAGTGCATGTTTAACTTTTTAATGGATTTGCGCACGAGTGCGTTGTTAGGGTAAATATCGGAAATTCCCGTTTTATTATTTTTAATTTAATTTTTAAAAATTGTTCGTGGGTACGTATTGCAAGGGAAATTACCCATGAATAAATACAGATGGATTAGTCCACAAATGCTTACTTCCCTTGCATTTCTGATTTCATCAGGAATCTGACATAACAGGACTATTTCTCTGATCCCACCATCCCTGTTATATCAGGTTTCCACTGTATTGTGTGTTCAAAGTAAAGCTGTAAAAACTGACTTTGTCATATCTACTGGAATCTTACCGCTGTTATAGATATGAGTAGAATTTAAGGGCTTTATTGTTATAATGTCAGTGGCTTGTTCTTCTAGTACGACAATCATTTCAACTGGGATTTTTTTCTGGCCCTGAGCCTTTTCCTTCTTTCATTTTCGTAATGGTAGCTAGTACGTCCATTTATTTACATGTAAAATTCTTTATTGCCGATTTTTTCTCCTCTATTATCTTTGAAATGTTCTTCTATGAATTCTGACCATCTGTTGAAGACATCCCTTTTTCCCATTAAAATATCTCCTCCTTATTTGAGCATCCTTTCTTTTATCCCACTTACTTCTTTCATTTTGGAATGCATGTATATTTGCTGTCTTTGTTTTGATTATTCTCTATTTGTTGACACTGATCATGTATCCATGTTTCTTCTACTTCGTTACATTTTTTTCTTCATATCCCCTTTTAAGATGTTATACTTTCCCACATTTTATAGTCTGGTGTAGCCAGATAATAACATGTTGCTTTATCTGAATATAAAATTATCAGTTTTGTGTGTTTGTTTGCATAAAGAGAGGCACATTGACACAGCAATGCCCATCCATCAGTATTGCCTTTCTCACTGTGGGTCAGGATATAGGCCACGAGCAAACACTTTCTACCTTTCCATGTCCTAGGCTAGTCACTTGATGTCATTCCATGTCTTCCCATGTTTCTGTTCATCTATTCCAGTGATTCTTCTCCAGGTTCCACGCGGTCTTCCCCCTAATCTTTTACCTTGTGGATTCCAATCTAACACTGTCCTTGTTATGTAGCTGCTTGACTTCCTGAGCGTGTGTCCAGTCCATCGCCAACGCCTTCTTCCCACCTCGTCTCTGACTGGGTGCTCTCTCGTTCTTTATAATACTTCCTCGTTGGTGACCCTGTCTGTCCATCTGATCCTAGTAACTTCCGTTGTTCAAAAAAGCCCGGATCCTCTTTATGCAAATCTGAGATGCGTTCCATGTCTCACATCCAGGAGCAGGTTATAAAAGATGGAAACGCACAAGAAGACGTCGAATTTTTCTGATATCTTGGGAGTATAATTGACAGAGAGGGGGGAACAGGCTGACTTCACATTTGAGTTGAAAATCCTCAGTAGTGAGATATCCCTGGTCCTTCAAATCCTATTAAAAGAAATAAAAATCAGTCTGTGCCTTTCCAAAGCGGGACTTTATTTCAGCGCCTGTTCCTCCCTCTCTGCCAATTATGCTCCCAAGATAGCAGAAGGATTCGACAACTTCTAGTACGTTTCCCTCTACTGTGACCTGCTCCTTTCGTAGTACATCTTTCCTTAGGACTTTTGACTTTCCAGGGTGGATCTTCAATCCAACAGACTCTAATAGACTGTTTAAAAATTGTGGTCTTTGTTTGCATCTGTTCCTGGGTGTGTGACAGAAGCGCCAAGTCTTCTGCAAAGTCCAGATCGTCCAGCTGTGTCCATGGGGTCCACTGTATGCCGTTTCTGTGTCCTCTGGTGGTTTCCTTCATCAGCCAGTCGATTGCCAAGATAAAGGGGAAAGGTGGAAGTAAAAATTCCTGTCTCACACCGGTCAACAATGCCCATTAGGATAAGGGGAGTAGATGGACAGAAACAACAGCATTATAAGGAATAGAAGCAGGACCTATCACTGACATCCTCCAACCACTCGCAAAAGTTAAGTATCAAGTGGTCATTGATTTCTTACTTTTGAGATAGCCCTCATACATGTTTGGTGGGAACACTTTCGAACAACTCAACTGCAATTACCGTCATCTTGCTGCAAAATGTACCGTAATGCTTCTGCAGAAAGACGTGTCACAGAATAGCATGTGTCTGTTTTGTATTTAGTTTAAATACAAGTTTCACTGCACTTGCAACGCATGTAAGTTATAGAAGTGCCTAGAATTAGAAGTGTTACTTGTGAGTAACCTACAGAGAAAAGAAGGAGGGCGAAAGAAAGATGATAGATGTTTGATAGGAAAGAAGGAGCAAATCATACCAAAACGCCATCCAACCATCCATTGTGTGTCTGTATTGCTCAGTTTGAGGTTATTTAAGAGGAGGAAAATCCGAAGCTAAATGTCCATCTATGCGGCCGTCCATAGGCAAAGCGACGTATCTGTTAAAATATGGTTTTTTTAGGGAAGGGGGTATTACTGGTTGGTTACATTAGTCTTGTCAGCAGTCTCCTTATGTCAAACTCAAATGGCCCCTTTTAAGCACAACGGGGATATCTCGAAAAATACTGTTTTGAGAAAGTCGAAGGTTAGGTTTTTGCCCCTTGTTCAGTTTCTTTAAAAGACAAGGAGTGTTTTCTCTATAACCAAACAAACACACCAATGAAACCAATCTATACGAGATAGGGCAATGCCTACTTTTTCTTTGGGTCAAGATTTCTGGAAACCCCCGAAATCTGGGTTAGCCCGCTTGTCTTTAAAAGCGACCAAATGCAGGACAACGTCTACATTCGAAGGAGCAGTTTTTTAAAGTGGATAAGTGACTTATTTCAATAAAGCGTCAAAAACGTTTTGCGTTTTTCTCAAAATCACGAAATAGGCGGTAACGTCGCTTGTCTTCGGACGGTAGAACCATAGGATAATGCCAAACAGGTGGAGAGCATTGAAAACACCCTTGACAACCAAAGTTAAGGGGCGTCCCCATTGGAGATTTGAATCCGATTATTTGCGTTTTACCCCATCATGCTAACAACAAAGTCAACGTTGAGACCTCAGGGCGGTCAAATGGAAAAGGATGAACAAGAAAGTACGAAAAAATTTCACACGAGAAGTAGACCATGCCATCAATTCTGTGTAAACGCACACTTTTAATGTTTCAGCTCAACACAATTGTCGAAGACATTCAAAGATGATGTAACGGTGTTCTTTGGTAAATATAGGTAATAATATGGATGTAGCGCCTCTTTCAACACAGCACAGCTAATCAAGACGCTGGATCTCCACACTTAACGCCCATTTCCACCAAAACCAAGCCAAGGCAAGTATGTGTGGAGCCTTTAAAATTCACTTAACAACCAAAGTCCAAAAACGCCACATTGGAGCACTGAACTGGGGCTGTCCATGCCATATTCCAGATTGATACCAACAGAATAAACAATATATCCACTGCATTGTAGCTCTACTACAGACTAGGAGATTATGTTGAAGGTATAAAACTGTTCACATTTCATATTGGGTCACATAATAATGTGATTAATACTACCCATCAGGCAGAATGCAACAGGTATAAGACAAATATGATACAAAGAGACGGTGCATTGTCAGCCCCTTGATGTCATAGCAACAACAACAACACTTTTTTTAATGAATCATGCATTGTTCAGTTAGAGATTGAAGATCTATCTGAAGACGATGGGCAGACTGAGTCCACCATCTATAATGTTATTATCCCCGGTGATGTGTTTTGCAGCGTCTGATGCGTAGAACGCGATTATCTCAGCGACGTCTTCAGAAATTCCGACAGAGCCTAGGGGCGCAGCTGCAGCTGCAGCCGCAAGGAACTGAGAAGTGAAAAAAAGGGAAGGGGGAGAGGATTTTTTTAAAAGACGGAGATATAAATAGGATAAAAAGCTAAATGCAGTTGAAATATTGTCTAAGACGGCCACACACTGTCAAGATTACATAAAGTGGTTTCCTTAGATGGGTGGAGGTCTTGGACAGTGTCGTCACTATAAAAATCAATATACGCAAGGAGTATGTGTGAAATGGTTATTTGTATAGGTGATCGTCTTAGACAGGTGACCGTTAGAGCAGATTCGACTGTACGAGATCAGGACATTATTTAAATGGCAAGTTGATATAGCAGAAGAGCATGCACGAAGGAAGGCGCCAATCGCTGACCCTGGCCACCCTGAACAGTTTCCTTGCCCACACTGCCCTCGTGTCTGCCGGTCGAGGAATGGCCTGAACAGCCACTCCCATGCCGACACAGGAAACGGGTTGAACAGATGAAGGCTTCGATTGCATTAACTGTTTTCGAGAAAATATGAGTACTATATTCACTATTCAACAACAAGAACAACAACTACAACAGCAGCAGCAGCAGCAGCAACAACAACAGCAACAGCAACGACAACGACAACGATGATGATGATGATGATGATGATGGCTTTAGTGTTCCCTTCTCTCCGGCGATTTGTACTCACCGCTCCTTTAAATATTCAGACATTTATGTACGCACTTTAGTTTTTATAGCCTGTGTATATGATGATGATGATGGAGATATTTCCGATATTGTCCAAACCACACCAATACGTAACTTATAGTGAACACTTTGTTGCTGTGGCGTCATCACCCATTTATTTTTCTCAAATACTATGTTCCTGATGAAGCCTTATTGGCGAAACGTTGAACTGTGAAATATATTTTTTTGGGGGAAATACAACAAGGTCTTAACTGTTTTAATACCTTCTTTATACAATGATGATGATGATGATGATGATGATGATGATGATGATGATGATGATGATGATGAGGATGAGGATGATGATGATTAAATATGATTATGTACCTCGTCTGCACTCTCTGGGTTTTCCGGTCGTGCTCGCCTATGGAGCGGCGTATTAATGGGGCCAGGGCTGAAACAGAACAATTGGAGTGTTTATCTGTCAGAGAATGGGGTAGAAAGAGAGAGAGACAGAGAGACAGAGAGACAGAGAGACAGAGAGACAGAGAGGGGGGAGCGCGGGGTCGGGTGGGTCGGGGAGGAAGGAGACATAAAAGGGGGGGGACAGAAAGCCGGCCATCAGGGTATAGGCATCAGGGTATAGGAACTCTGATTCAACGAAGTCGTCGGGACTGACCTACAATTTCGTTGAGTCCGAATGTTCGTTACAGAAAACATGATGATTTGTGTAGATAATTACTGGCACTGAGCAAGTAATGTATAATGTATTCGACTTTCTCAATCAAAAGTAATTTGGTTTCAAGGAGAGGCATTCTCGTTTGTTTTTTTTTATTCCATACCGAAGATTTGCTGGAAAATTCCAGGAAAATACACTGAATTCTACCAAGCACACATTGTGCAAATGGGCCGATTCGTTCAAATTCACGCTTGTGTCATCTATCATATGTAACGTATTGTTTGCCGAATATCGTATGTTGCTGTGCAGAGCGTAGCATACATCAACGTTTGATTCCACAATCCAGCGCGCAATTTATTACGTAAATCTATGTCACGACTAACTTATTGTAAAAGTGATCAGTAGCAGGGGAAAAAATAACCAAGACGCGTTTTTATCTCTACGATACTGACGTTCCAAGGCCGGACCGCTTATGCCCCCTCACCCCAGACACACGCACACACATCACGTGTGCTGGTCGCCTGTTCAACCCCAAAACACGCTAAGACACGTGTGCGTGCTAAAACAAGGGGTGTGTTGGATGAAAGAAGGCCGCTGATTGGTCGCATAAGATATTTTTAAAAAACAGGCCTAGGCTAAGCGATTAACGGTTCACCGTGCAGGAGCCATGGATGGTACCCAGGAATAGATAGGGTTTGTTGCGGGGGGGAAATAAGCGAAGCTCGTTGGATCCCACCCAGCTCATTTATGTGTTCGTTGAATCCGAGTCTTTTTTTTTTTTTTTTGATTTTCATGAATTTTAAAAAAACGGGGAATCCATCCCTTTTCGTTGGATCCGACTTCCACTGTATCAGTAAGAGCCCGGGTTTAAACCCTGCATGTCAGGACCAACCCAACCCAACCCAACCATAAGATCGAATTCTATACAATTCTCCCCTCTCGGGAATCAAACTTGGATTTCACGCGTGTAATGATAAAGCCCCTTAGCGTTACACCACAGACGCCGGTATGAAAAAGAATGATCTGCTTCAAACGGATCCAACTGAATATCAAGCAAGCAAGGTTGAAACTAAATTTCGACTACCCATTCCTAATAAAAGTTAAAAGCGGCTCTCGAGCTTGACGTCATGGTGCGTGAAGGTTGGCGGAGTAGCAGGGCTCTGGCGGTTTAGCGAGGTTCCTCTGATAAATAGCCCCAAATGCCCAACGTCAAGGGAAATGGTACTGTTGTGATCTGTGTTTGAAAAGTGCCTTTTTATTGGAAATGAATGTGATTTGGAACTGAGAGTCTTCTCTCTCTCTCTCTCTCTCTCTCTCTCTCTCTCTCCTTGTTTCTTGTGTTAGTGTGTGTACATACAAACCCAGCTGAAATTTGCGTAAATTCGAACTGAATATTTCTGCAGGATCAAAAGCTAGGTTTTACGTGTCAAGGTCCCCAGATGTACTTTTTTACCCGATGACTATCCGTCCTCGGGCCGCCCCAGACCTGACACGTAAGACTTGAGCGTTAGTCCTCACAAAATACAAGCCTTACCGACGCCCACCAGCCTTGAGATCATGGGGCTAATATTTGGCATTGTGAGATATTTTACGGGCAAGCAGAGGTGGCGTGAGATAGAGACTATCAAGTAGCGAATGAGTGGATGCCGTTTACAGTGCATAGCGTGAGCTCCTAGCGCACAATTTGTTGGCGGTACAGCGGGGCACTTTTACAATAGTGTAGTGTAATGAGGACTGTATAACTCAAGACAGTTGGTGAATGGAGGGCAGTGGGTGGTGGTGTAAAGGCCCAAATACTATGTTTATATTATTATATAGACGTTCCTTTTTTAGTTCAGTTTTAGTAGAGGTTTTACGGCGCTTGCTACTGCATGAGGTCATATGAGCGCCAGAAGATTAGAGGTGTTACAAGAGAGTAAATAAACATAAAAAAAGAAGAAGGGGAGGTAAGGATGATAGATGTTTCATAGGAAAGAAGAAGCAAACTATACCAGAGCACCCGCCAACCACCCACGTTCCTTTTTGTATATTGGCAAAACCCTTGTGGTAATGGAGCTAGCGGTATACCGGGGGTGGGGGGGTGGTTAATGAGGTTTGTCTGATATGAAGACTTTCCACAAATCTTCATTATGAAGGAAAATTGAACGCTTTGGGACAATCGACTTACCTTACAGAGTTCACCCGAATTTTATCCTTGCCAAACTCTGAAAGACAAATTTTAAAAAAGGCATTTCACGCATTATCTACAGCAATGAAAATAGAAATCATTCTAATAATGAGAATAATAATAATAA